TACTAAGTGGTTTTGTGTAGATTAAGTGGGAATACACTGATTATTTGAAAGAGGCTGAGCTCAGGAAATCTTCCTTATCACAAAAACAATCCCCAACACAACTTGATCCCTAGGGCTATATTTCAGGCAAAGGACAAAGGTTCTTAATCTTATTGGGCTACAGGGTTTTTTTTTTTTGCTGTTGTTTTTTGGGTAGTTTTGCTTTTTTTGCTTTATTTTGTCCTTGGCATACTCTAAACATGAAAAACAATAATAAAAGAAAACATTGTTTTCTTGGTTCATTATAACTGCGAATGGATGCAAGTGGAGATGATAGAGATATAAGAATTATTTTGATAATAGATAAGGGAAGTTATTTCTGATAAGAAATGGAGCAGACACTGCAGAATTAGCAGGGCACCCATTTAAAAGTCTAAAGAAAGTTTGTGGGATGTCAAGAACACATCATAGACTGTTTTTTTTTTTTATCTTAGACCGCATCGTCTGAGGCTACGATGCTCCCTTACCAAGGCTGTATGAAAACACCTTCTGCCTAGAGAATATACAGGCAAGATCGAAAAACCAATTGATGACTTTACAGATAATTGCAATTAAAATGATTGCTAAGTGAATAAATGATGGGTATTGGAAGCATGTGCCAACAAATTATTGCTTTTACATAGTGTTATGAATATTGGCATTTTGCTGGCATTTGGCACTTTGCAGTTTTAGGCATATTAGATACATATTGTATATTAAACACTAACTTTCTTTGATGTTGAAAACCTTGCAACCTTGCAAAAAAATTGTAATTACCTTTCCAAATATTAGGAAATTGAAGACAAAAAATTCCTAAAATTGATGATAGGGAAATATGCTCTATGTAATAAAAAAGGCATTTTGAGAAACAATGTCAAAAGGAATAGCCACCATTAACCATATATGTTCCCCATTCTCCCCTGCACACCACAAAAAAAAATCATTTCATTTTCAATGGTCTCTTGCTTTAGTTTTCACATGGCATTAAAAAACCTATTTCTTAATAGTTGTATCAATATAATCGTGCTCACAATGATGCAATTATCACAGTCCATTTATAAGCAGTATGACTTCTGGGGTAAAGGTGTGAATTTATAGCAGATTTAATGAACAGGGCCCAAGACAAGGGAGTGATTAAAAAAAAGCCAGAATAATCAAGACAAACATATTTTTGTACAATATTTATATCAAAAATGTAAAAATGAGAAGATTGGAATGAAGGTGAAGACAATGACAAAGTGTGGCAGGGCAGATATACTCTAGCCTTTGCCCTGTAAAGGAGATGTAGATGATACGTGCCATTTTACAGGGTGTCACATGTTGGATGGGAGTCTCCAATGGCTTGATTCTACTGGAAGAACTGTTCCTTTCTGGTTTATGTTTTTCCCCCTACATTCTACCTATAGAATCCTTGTTGACCAAAGTGACCAGGGCAAGATCCACTGTGCATGAAGCCATTTAATTTCAGGTGAAAGACTCAAGAAAGTTTTAACTGGTTTAAATTTGATGATGGCTAATTATAAAAATCTTAAAAACTTCTAAGCAATCTGAAAATGCTTACAAAGTAGTGACTTTCTTGTGAGACTAAACATAAGTTCTGGCATTTCACATATATATTAGACAAAATGTATGGAGAATAAAAAGATTTAACACCACTTTTAAATAACTGAGCAATCAAGATGTTTTCACTATAAAATATTAAAAATTATATGAGTACATTATGTGAAAATAAGACTTTAAAATCAATGAGAATTAATGTAATCTAAGCCATTCTAAACACATGGCATATAACTTAATTTTTAAAAACTCAATTATTATAATGTGCTCTCCAAAGACTGAAGAGAAACAGTATCTTTTCTAGAAGATTGATTTGAATAATTATAAAAGGATTTTTTATGGAGTATCAGAGGAAGACATATAAGGAAGTAAAAATTGCCCCAAACGTTACCATCTACAGACAAAATATTAGTATTTAGCAAAATGTTTTCCTGCTATTTTTCTAATAGTGACATGTTCCAGATAGCCTTACCTTAGTTTCTGAAAGAGTAAGAGAATGCTTGAGGCCTGACACCACCTCTCTTAATTATGTTTATAATGCTACTTACACATTTATTTTATATATGAAGTGTTTTACAGTGTGCACATTGCAGATTGCCTTTGAATGGGCCCTTTGAAGAAACACTACAACACAGATGAGGAAGTAAGGTTCTGAGAAATTCATGCTGCCTAGACACATGCTGGAAATCCTGTCTCTTAACTCTAGATGCTTTCTAAATTCTTTTCTCTGCAACATACAATATATTCAAGGCACAACTCTACAATAAATAAAAGAATCCAGGCTTGCAAATTTGAAAGTACGATATTCCTTTGGGTAGACTCTCTATATTGATGAATAGATTCATAAATATCACCAGGATGATTACCAAAAAGAAACACAAGATTATTTTTAATGAAGTATTTATTATAATGACAGGAAAACTAAATACAAACATGTTCACTAATACAATTCCTCCAGTAGTTACCTAAGGAGAGACACGCAAAAGGACAACCATCAAGTCAAGAAGTCAGGTTAGAGTTTCTAGCTGTGGTACCAAATGGTTAGAATCACCAGGTGGTTGATCTAATTAATTCAGTGGCAACTTGCTACTTCAAGTCTTCTCACAACAGAAATTACTGAAGTATGTTGAACATAAAGTCAATATAAATTAAACAAAGCATTTTAAAACACACTGGTGGATTTGTGCCATGAGCATACCTTCACCTAAATATTAGAAAAGCATAATTTTGGGGGGGTGGTACTCAGGGGGTCCTGGGGGTTGAACTCAGGGTTTCATGCTTGTTTAGGCCACTTGAGCCACTCCACCAGCCCCTTTTGCATTGGTTACTTTTGAGGTAGGATCTTGTTTTATGTCTGGGTCTGCCTGGATCATGATCCCCCTATTTATGTTTCCTGCATAGCAGGGATGACAGGCGTGCACTGCCACAACCAGCTATTGGTTGAAATGGGGTTTTGCAAACTTCATTTCCTTGGCTGGCCTCAAACTAGAGCTCTGCCTCCCAAGTAGTTAGAATTACAGGTATGAGCTACTGTGCTCAGTTAGAAAAGCATAATTTGAATTTCTCTCTGTAAAACTGTCATTTTAGGGATCCAAAGTTTTGACATTTAATAGTATTGGACTCTAGAATTGATAGTGATAAAAAAAAGACTGAAATTAAAGCCATATACGAATTTAAAAGTTTTAGTGACTAACATATGTTGAAAAATCTTAAAACTCTTGCTTAGTAAAGTCCAGGGTTATGCCAGCTCTAATTTCCTATCACTGGTGACATCACAGAATATTTATCAGGGATTCAGTATTCGCTTCCTTAAGCCTAAGAAAATGCTAAGAATTGTAACTATTAAAAGCTATTATTACTCTTTTTTCAAAGGCGAATAATAGGGCATAGCTATAAAAATAATAAAACTCATTTTTTATAAACATGCAAGAACTTAAGAATCCAAATGGAGTTTAACCATTAAAATTTCCCCATTCAGGAAATTTGATATTGTCATCATTCAAATGTTTTGAAGATCCTTGTCTCTCTCCTTGAGAGCCAGTACATAGCATGCAAGAAGATCTATTCCACTGCCTAACTTACTACCTCCCCTTATCTCAAAAGTTGTTTAAAGTGGCTTTTGGCTGTTTACAAAGGGGGTAAAAGTATATATGTCAATGTCCTAATGGATTACAATTTCCCATGAATATTCAGATTATCAACATGTTATAGTTGGCTAAGTAAAACTCAAAACTAATTTCAAGCAGGGGCATCACATTTTCAGAAACAAGGAATATGTACTTTCATCTACTTTAAAGGGGTCATACTTGTTTGATGTCAACATTCTGATATATTCATTCAAGCCAACCATTAACTATAGGTCCTAAAGGTAGAGACTAGGCCATTTCTATGACACAGCTCTCTATTCTCCCCTCTCCCCTGCCTCCTCAATATCGGCAGAGGCTGGTGTCCAACAATGTTGAATTGAAGTGACTTGAACTACCTCAGATAGATAGAGCTATATATCATGTATTTAATACTTCCACTTTTCTATGGATTAGGCCATATTGGTATTCATAACATATGCACATTAATAATCTTTGATGGTTTTCTATAAATTGAGGGATTGTACCATATAAATCATAGCAAATAAATCAGATCACTAAAGGGCTTAATAGATGAGTACTTTCTGTCATTCCTATTCATACTGCTTTGCATATTTTAGTTTTAGAATTCCTGCTAGTCAAGCTTCTTTCTGGGAAAAGAACCACAGGAATTTATACTTAATAAGAATCAATTCTGATATGTTATAAGCAATTCTCCCTTCCCTAGATCACATCTATGTGACCAAAAAGATCAACCTTTAGCAAAAGACATTAGCCTCAATGACATTAACCAGACTTCACAAGGCTGGTCACTGTTACATGGTGTGTCACTTATTTGGGCTGAATGATGACTAAAATGGAACTGGTTATTTGTTGATGATACCTCATGCTTTGGGATGAGATTTGCCACAAAGATTGGTCTGAATTAAAGCATCTACTAAAACAAAATGTCCTAACTTAACAAAACAAAGTTGGTAAAGTTTAAGATTAAATACACTCAAGCAACATTGCATTTAAAAGTATTCTATGTTGCATTGGTTTAAAAACTATATGAAAGATGGAAGAAAACCTAAAGCAGTGTTAAATTTACCTGTGGACCTGTTCCTTGTTGGAAATATTAATAGAAAATGAGGAGGAATATAGAATGCCTAGATTAGATAATTTTCTAGAATTAGATTTTGGGTATTTTCAATCAGTAATTACACTTTCAATATATTCTGGCTAAAGTATTAGCAAATTCTCTGTAAACCAATAACAACATTGCTTTTATTTGATGATAAACAAATGGCATATTTGGGTTTCTTAATTTGTTCAGATCTAATTTCTACAGTGAAATTCCATTTAGCACATCTTGCAGGAACACACCTTTGCTATCCATGAATGATGTCTTGGCTGACCTAGAAAGAAAACAGATATCTGTGTTACATAGTAAAATATAGAGTAAAAAAAGAGGAAAGAAGGAAGGGAAGGAGAAGAGATGTGGGGAGGAAGGAGGAAGGAAAAGAGGAAAGAAAGGGAAAAAGCTATTGCCTAGAATTTCCACATTTATTTTCTATCTTGAAATAAAATGTTATGCAATAAAAATATTATTGTCCTATAAGCCATGTAAATATATTTTAATTCCCAGCGAAGATGAAAATTGCCAATAAGATAAATTTGTTTTGGAATTAGTATATTGCTATAACTTTTAAGAAGTGGGTTTCTATAAATTTACCCACAACTGCAGTTTTAGAGTCAGACCTTCTAAGTATTAGTTGAAATACCATTTGAGTTAAATAATCAAGTTAGTATTTCTTAGCATACTCAAATGGTTATCTTTGGCTGAAAAAACCCATATGATTTAAATTAATTTGACTATCAAACTAATTGGAGCACTGTGACTTAATTAGCTATTTTTATATTAATAATGTGACCCTGAAGAGTAACTCCCACACTCTGATTGGCAAAAACTCAGAAAGCTAATTCTTTCATTTAAGTTAAACTAATACCACATTCTAGTGTGTGTGTGTGTGTGTGTGTGTGTGTGTGTGTGTGTGTGGTGTGGTGACTTAGCCTCTAGTTTTATACTCCTTTATGCTGATGCTTAAATTTCCCCTTTAGGCATATTAAAAAAATACTGATATTGTTAAACACAGCCAGACAAAAGAACTTACACTTTGTTGCTGAAAATTTTCTTCCTTCTTCTACAACATTTTTTTAGCACCAGCTATAGAAAGTGTGTTCTTGATGGCTAAGATTGATGCTTTGCTCACACAGTCTGCATTTTTCTGCTTCATGCATCATCATCAGCCATCTCCAACACTCCAGTACTGAATCTGTCCTACTTTCTGTTACCTGGTTTTTGCTGGTGATTCATGAGGCAGAATAGTAAGAGAAAAAAAAAAAACCCACCTTGGCTTTTTACAATGTATTATTCTCTGGAAACTCTATGAGAAATTTAGTTTTGTTCATCAGGTTCATGCAAATGTAATATTGATTGACAATGATGTATATAGATCCACACACATAACATGCTATATAACAACCACTAAGATGTTCTAGCAATGGCAGAATGCATACTGATTATAAACTACTGCAGAATTGATGCAAAAACTTATAAGAATGCATTTTCTTTTGTACTTCCAAGCTCTCTCTTGTTGCTACTATCTCAGCTGAAGCTACTTTTAAGTGTGCTGTCCCTAGAACAGGAGGAAGTAAAAGTCTTAATCTTCACAGCCAATAAAGTAATAAAAGTTCAAGTCTCTCATTAATATGTGCATAAAAATCGTGAGCCTTGTGCTATAGTTTCTATCATTGTGAGTGTTATGATGGAAGACAATAAATCCTTTTGAAAAAAATATTCTGGAGAATAAGGTTTAAACTTTAATTGCTGTACAGCAAATAGTTAACAAGAAGTTAACCAGTGAAAAGACTCAACTGAACTACTTTTTGTGAAAACATCTTTCAGATTAGAAGCAAGCAGGGCTTAAAAAGAGCCAAGGAAAGAAAGTCTAATGGCCCTGAAATCACAAAAATGGGAGCTACAAATTTGTGATGTTGTCTCAGTGCTTTTGTTACTAGACATCAAAGTTATTCCCCCAGGTTTCAGGAATGTATAAAGCCAGTGAAGGAGCAAGTAGACTTCACAGAGTCTAAGATAGAAACTCCAATCTGGGATTCACCTGTGAGTCAAAACCCTTTACTAATGAATTATTCCAAAGAAAAGACACAACTGAGGGATACTTTCACTGGTCTGAATAGACCTCCAGGTTCACTAGCAGGGTCAAAGGAACAGGAATGCTCTGGTCTAAAGGTGCTTTGCCAACCTTAATGGACTCCAGGCACTCACCTGGGTGTACAGCTTGAACCAATAAAGAGATCACACGGCATGATGAATAAGGTGGAGCACTCTAGAGACCAGGTGAACAACCACTCCACAGGCATCTAAGTTGTGACCTATATGCAGACTGCAGCTTATTTACAAATGGATCATCCTAGTCAATTTAGTGGTGGAGATGGAATCATGTCAACGTAAAAAGAAAGAATCTGTACCTTGAGTTCGAAACTATTGTATTCAAACATAATTCACCAAGTCCAATTTACTATTTTATATAAATCTAAAATTTGATCTTATCAATATCCTTTCAAAACTCTCATCAACATTTAAAAACATCAACTTCAACTCTTTTGAGTAATCTATTTTAGTTTTAGTATGTATCAATGTCCCTCTTGCTTTTTGTATATGAGAATGAGTTGATATAAGAAATATGAAATCAAAGTGAAATGTTTAGAAGATTTGCAAAGAAAAGACGTTGGAGGAAGCAATATATGAAGCAATATTTTTTATACTGTGCTTGTATGGGAAAATGATTTTTGTTTTCATGTTCTATATATTAAAATGATGCAACAAATATACTAATCAGTTAGCATTGCATAGATAAAACTATGAAACCACATTTGACTTTGTAACTCTGGGATTTTTCATGGACATGAAAATGTTGAAATTTTAAAGGAGTGGTAAAACACCAGTTGAAAATGGTAAGAATGATGCATTCATATTTAAATGCACCCCTTTCTTATAATGAATATAATAGAAGCTGGAGGTGTGGCTCAAGCAGTAAAGCACCTGCCTAGCAAGCACAAAGCCCTGAGTTCAAACCCAAGCAGTGCATCTATCTATCTATCTATCCATCTATCTATCTATCATCATCTATCTATCATCTATCTGTCTATGGAATTTTAAGTTTAGTTGCTGAAACACCTTGGCTAGTTTGAAGACATCTTTCCAAATGTCACCATTTAAAAATCCCAAATTTGAGTTTTTCTATTAACTAAAGTGGTTAATGTTTTCCAGAGAAATAACACTCACACCTGGTAAACAGAGGTAACTAAATCAAGCATAATAGTTGTCATTTTGGAGCCCCTACAATTTCATTGACTTCATATTTTGAAGTTTATTTTGGGACCTTGAAAAGTGAACATTCAGCTTTTCCACAGTTCAAGAAAGTCACTCTATGCCACCAAGTTCATACAAGAAATACAAAACTTATTTTCTCTATTCTCCATTCTAAGAATTTTGCCCATCGAATACTTCTACTTCAAAGAAATGAACTTTCTCATCAAACTCTTTCTTACTAAACAAGCATCTCTGTCAGAAGTGTCTTAATTTCTTATCACAGAATTTTATCCACACAAGGAGCAATAAATAATTCATGTCACTGCCTCTTTGTTGTGTGTCCCTGAACTGCACAGAGCTGGAAGGCTGACAGCTGTGTCAGGACAAGCACCAAAGATCTGACATGACAAGTGACTAACAAGTTTCTTTCAGTTCATAGTGAAAGAAGACAATGGCCCAAAGAGCAGAAAGAAATCCTGAAACAAAATAAAACTGCTTCTTTCTTTCTACCTAAGTGTTTGCTATGAGCTGATTTCCACCCCACAGCCGTGGTCATTTTATAGGACTGCCCAGCCCCCTTTATTCCTCACACTCGCTTGGCCATTTACGCCTGGCCACGGATCAATATGAGCAATTCTTGGAGAAATACGATGTCTCCATGACAACCAAGCCACAAATTCTCAGTGGAAGGCAGTGAGACCAGTAGTGAACCCTCCAGAGGTTTCTAGGCCTATAAGGCAAGATGTCTTAAAATGCAGGAATGGACAGAGGAAAAAGCCAGAGTAATTCATTCTTTATTACCAATTTAATGAGGTCCAATGTATAGAACGGTACTCACTCTTTAAGTTAAGATTCTTTATCAGTACCTATGTTTTCCAATTAATCTTTTTTTTTGATATGTTCTTTTGTTTGCATCAGATAGAGTAAGTTATATTTGAGCCTTACTATCAGTGTACTCATATTAAGAAACAATGGAGATTTTGCTACTTTTGAAATGCTATAATACTATTCTTGTCAAAAACAATGAACACTTAGGTAGACACTCGACTTATGGATTCAACTCTCTTACAAAACAGTTGATAAGAAATGATTTGTTAGGAAACTTTAAAAACCTAGTCAGATTTAGGCAATTTTACTTCAAACTAAAAGTCATTAAAATAATTTTTATTATAGAAATTTAACACTACAACTACTCTCTCCCTTTTTCAGTGAAATTAATCTACATTGCTACATTTTTCTTTTGGATGTTATAGTAAGGAGTGGGGCTAATTAAAAATTTCTGTGATTGCTATAGATGCCATGTGCTTCTGTCATGGGATGCTGAGGCAGAAGTATGGTTGAGAATGGGCTTACAACAGTGGGTCATCCTTTGAGCAATCCTGGTGTAGCAGAGGGGGCTGATATACACAATGCCATCACCACTAGGTCTATTGAGGTTCTGGGATGACTTAGGGGACCTGACATAGATTGCAGGCTGCACCTTTCACTGAAAATTAAATCTCAGTAGCTCTCCTCGGGGAAGGATCAGGGGACTGTTTGCAGCTGCCCCCTGTCAGCAAAGGCAACAAGATTTGGAAATCTCTTAACTAAGCTGACAGGCCACAGAGAGGACAAATCAAAAATATGATACATGGATCAGCACACAAAGATGTGAGAGGGTAGATGGTACACAGTAGCCAGATAAAACAGGAAAGAGAAATATTCAGTGGGGGTAAATAACTAACTTTCCTTCATAGTAATAGGTGTCTTCTAGTGTCTCAGGACTTTGTAATGATCCAGGAATGTCATTCAACTTTTGCAAGAGTTTTTTTTTCTTTTAATTAATTAGTCATTAAAATTAAATATGCTTGAAATCAGAACAAAACCAAAAACCCATGCTTAAGTTTTATTGCATGAATGGTGGGTTATCATTTTCTTTTTTTTGACAATATCTGTTCCTGTCATGGTAAAATTCTCTCTTCCCAGTTAGAGTCCTGTTTGTATTTAGAAAGATAAACAAAACTGTAACGGTGACAATTTGCTTCTCTTTTCTCTTCCTCTATGTCTGGCTTGACTCTTGTTAGATCTTGTTATTTGAAATATTTAAAATGTCAACATTTCTCTAGTTCCCAATCTCTGCATGTATTAACCAGTTTAGCTTAAAATTGATGATAATGAACTAACAGTGTCAGCTTCCCTTCTCCGTCATAAAGCCTTTGTACTTCCTCCAACTGAATTCCTGATGAAAGAGGAAAAGATAACAGCTCCACACTGTGACCTCTGGAGGTGACCATTAATTTGACAGTGCAGCTGCTAAGAGAAAACAGCATTACAATGTCCTCTCCCCCCACACCCTCCCAAGGACCCCAAAGCTGTGTCAAATTTATCATTTTATACTTGACTATTTTTAAATGGCTTTCACCTGGACTCTCAGACTCTTCCAAGACACATCTGTCAGGCATGTCCTCAGCATCTTGGAAGTTTGCCGAGTTTGAGTTGCTGTCATGCTTGACTGGACTGACTGGAGCTATTAAAAAAGAGAAAGAAAGAAAGAAAAGAAAGAGAAAGAGTGTGATGAAATAGTAGTAGCAAATGCCATTAGGATATTTTAGTCTCACAGATATTTCCAGGGAACACTATGTAAACACAAATAATAAATTGAAATAAAATGTATCCTCTAAGTATTTATTGGCAGACACGTAATTAGTTGAAAAATCTATAGATGTGACTTTATCTTCAAAGAAAAATAAGTTCATAGCATCAGCTTAAAAGCTACAAAGTAACAAAGCGATGCCTTCGAAGTAGAAATCGTATTTTTAATGCATAAATCTAAAACAATATAGTCAATTAACAGCATCAGGACACAAAAAGAACATCAGGCTACTCAATTAGAAAGAGCAGCTCTACACTGGTGGCAAGGCTCCCTTTTGTCACACAAATCACAGCTAATGAACAATTTGTATACATTTTGGCTGTTTCATTAAATTAAAAACGATGCTAGCAAACAAGTCTTACAAAAAGTAAATTTTAAACACAGAATGAATAGAGTGAAAATGACAACAGTGAGAGCTGGTATTTTGAACAGTGTGTCTCTCAACATCTTCTCATGAGATATTATTTCCTAACTAGTAATTATAACCAGAAACAGAAGCTAGTACAGGAGTATAAAATTTCCTGTAAACATATCACACCTGCTAACTTTATTTAAGAAACACACTCCAATTTCTGCATTTTCTCACAGGTTGTAACATTTGGTCTAAATTGTCTTCATAAGTAACATATTCCCATATTACATTTTTTCTAGCAATCATTTGTCAGAAAAAGTGGGTCTTGCCTTATGAAGAAACTCAGTGAAAAAACAAAATAAAATAAGCCTTCAATCACGAAAGTTATGTCATTACTATTCTGAAGCCATATGTACACACACTATTGAGTACTACAGCATAAGTTTCTGTTGGAAAGATTACCACTGTCTGTCAGCTCTTGATAACACACACATCATATTTATAAGCTATAAATACAATAAAAATATACCTCTATGTAAGTCATACAGGAAATATGTTTGTTGGCACATGACCACTGCTACTAAACCTCCATTAGAAGAGGAGAGAGTAGAGGAGAGGCCAGAGACTGCATTCTTTACCCCATGGATAAGTGACAAAAGGTGTCCTGCCCAAGGTCCAACCTCTCACCTGCCACAATCCTCTGCTTTATCTTCATAGAGCGTGTGTAGCGTCGGAAGTCATACCTGAGGACCACCCAGAAATACTTTAAAGGGGACTAGTAACAATTCTGGTCAAATATTCCCTCCAGATAGTGTCACCAGCCCATCTGGGACACAGAAAGTATTTCACTGTCCTGTGCAAGTGTGAACATACTTTGGAGTTAGAACTTCTAAAACCTTTATTTTTTGGGGGTGGGGAACATATAGGAAAAGTATGAAATTCTTATTTTGAATAACATGATTTTCATTATTTTGTACACTTGAATTTTCTGATAAAATACAAAAGTAAACACCACCTCTTTTTCATTCATTTCTGGGTACATTCTATTTGTATATATATATATATATCAGTGCCTGGGCTTCAGGAAATATTCTCGAAGGATTTGTGAGATAAATTAATGATCAAATGACTAAAGCTGAGGTACCAGGCTAGATGTTCTCCTAACCCAAGAGGATCTGTGCTTTCAATTATCTTTCTGTTAGATCTGTTCACTTGAGACCATGGATGCCTATTTGCAAATGGTGATGAGTGTTAGTGTGCAATTTGGCAGGAGAGGCATTGCATGCCCTAAGTAGTCACTGATGTAGCTGCCTTTCATTTAATTTTCCTCACTTTAAATCATACTTATAGATTATTTTTGAATCCATAGATTTTTGTGGGAAGTTTAAGTAGGACAGTTAAATGCATCAAAGCTGCAGAAAACTATTATAGTGGTCAAAATTTCCTGGCTTGTTTTAATGATTTTTATCTCTATATATCTTACTTATTAATTTTCTGACATATTTACATTGGTATTGATAAGAGGGAATCAATCATGTAGCTAAATCTTTTACTAAAAGCCAATGAGCTAGCACCTCTATTTATTTGGGCAAATGCATAACACTTGTCATCCAATACATTGCTCTTTCATAATTTAACACTTTTCTCCATTCGTTCATTTATTAATTCTTTTAACAAATACTTATCAAGCACCAAACATTTAAAGAGGCTCTTCTAAATCAGAAACCTCTAATACTCTATTGGTATTAGAACAATAAATTGCATGCCTGCAACCATTTTTAGTGGCAATAAAGTGGACCCAGTATAAAATGACATATCAAATCTCAAGAAAGCTAGAAAGTTAGATGTAGTTTTAGCAACAGTATCTTCATTAAATTTCCACTAGTGGGTACCATGCTGCTATTTTTGCCTCCATCTCTGATTGTGGAGAGTATGGTTTGTGTGAGTATGAGGAGTTGGAGAGGGTTATTCAGATATCTTGTTTAATTACAGCTTGCTTCCCAATTTCAAGTGGTGCAAGATTTGTCATTTTTACTCAGTAGTTCGTAAAGCATCCAATAAACACACTATAGAAGAAATGACTACACTATGTCAATTGGGAGCAGAAGATTTGGAGAGGTTAATTACTGCCATTCTACTTTTTGTTTGTGTGTTTGTTTGATAGGCTAATCCTTGCAATTGTTCTTTTGTGTGCCTCTTGTGATGTTTCATCATTAAACTCTGACATGATGTGTGACCAAGACTTCTCTAATGAATCATTTCAAAACTGGTGAAATCAACAAATATTGATCTAGTGCTTATTATGGGTAGAGCTCCTTGCTAGACTGTAAGGGGTACAGAAATGAAGGTACATTTAATATGCCCTCATACCACTTGCAATCTAGTTGAAATATAATAACTTTAACTAATAGAAGCATTAGAGATGACATTCTAAGAGCATCCTACTTTTTAGGAGTGCAGAAGAAAATTCCTCTGTGATAAGACAGTACAGAGGTGGAATCTGAATTAGACCTCCTTGAGTGGGAATGTGGGAAATCCAAAAGAAGCTCATTCACACAAAAGAAAAAGGTGTAAACACAAGCATAGCCAAAGAAATACCTTGGCCTAGTGCCACAGATGTTACTTTTTGGTGTTGCTGCCTACTTGGTATGTATTTTTAATGAATTCTCCTTACTTGTCTCTTTGAGCTTTTTGTGAATTGCTGTTGTTGGCTATTTCTTCTCACTTGTACAAGTTAGTTATAGACAGGTTTTCTCTTGCCCTAGATAGTCAATAATTTGATCTTTACTGATGGTGGGCCCATTTATCACAGTAAGTTGTCCTTTCACTATTCATATTGACTTTTATTTATCAATACCAAAGTCCATTTGTAGCTCATCACTAAAGTTCTTGGATATTTTCAGTAGTTTTTGAAGGTGCATTTCAGAGCTTGGCAGAGAGATACTTTTGACATCAATATATCACAAATGGTTGTTAGGCTCATCTTTAGCTTAAAATCAACTGTTTGTTTCCTCTGTAACAGAATCTAAAATAGTTCACATTTAGAGAATAGGGAGTTAAAAAGACAAACTTTTCTTGACATTTCCACCACTGAAAGATATAAGGCTGTCTCATTTATTCATTGCACAACTAAAACATCAACTGAAGGCCAATGTTTGAAGTATCTCTGCAATATATTCATAGCTAGATAGAGTCCATGTGCTTTGCATGGATGTCTTTGACTATGGCACCTTTAATCTAAAGTATAATTCTTCTAGATCCTGAGGAAACAAATGGTTCAGCCAATGATAATAAGCAATCAGTAGTTTTTAAACTATATTCAGGAACCCCTTATAAGGAATCCCAAAGATTGTATAAAGAAGACGCTATTGAAGAAATTATTGTTTAAAAACCGTGGTGCCAGGGCCACTGGTAACACTTTTCTACCTCCCTTCATTCTCTATTCTAGTTTCACTTATCCTCTAAAAACTCACCCTTTTCTTTTCTTATTATTTGCAGAAAGATGTCATTTGTTGTTAAAGGTGACTAGGCCTACCCAGTAAGCAACTCCAAGAAATATCCCCCACAGGGATACAAGAGAATGGTCATTGGGAAAAACTTCTCCATCCACTTCCACAAATGGCACATGCTCTTCTGAGCTAGGCCACTAATTTCCAAGCAAGAGCCTTTGTTAAAATCTATGCCATTCACAGTGTGAATAAATTCTGCAGCTCCAAATAATGTTTTCAATACAATAACTTATGAATGATTTAAAGAGAGATACCATTCATCATATGTATAGGCTTTTTGGAAGTAATCAGAATATTTATAGGAAAATCATTAGTAAAAATATATGGCAGTTCAAAATGTTGGCCAAATGAACAGAATAAACCACTATAGTACCAGATAAAGGTCAAAATGTTTAATCATTTATTAATAAAGGACATAAAAATAATGTACAGTTTACAGAGGCCATGTCCTGTGGAATGAAAGACCTGGGTTCAAAACTACTCACTCAATATGGTAGCAACTTCCCTGCTTGATAATTTAGTTCACTTCCTAATCTAAAGGAGTCCCTAAAAATTAACTAAAAAAGCATCTTCTTAAAGGTCTAAAGAAAGAAAAATGGCATCAGCTTCAGGTAGAAATGCTAATAAAATGCTGGCAGATCATACATGGAAAAACCCGTATAATGTATTTTAAATTAGAGGGAAGCAAAATCCATGAAAAGACTTCTAAGTGATAACACCAACTTTGTGAACAAAGAGAATGTCATTTGAATTGACCCCCAAATTCGGTTACAAAGTAGCTTGTCTGGACAAATGTGTTATCAGGAAAGCATATCTAGCTAAAGAGCTATGTACATATTACCCCTACTTTAATGAGCATCTACTGAGATAATCAAGTGTTAGGACCTCCAGATTATATTTGAATAACAATAGTTAGATCCTGTGTCAGACTTCAGACTTACTTTGTCTTCAATGTGGATTGGAAACTGAAAAAAGAAATCATATAGAGATGCCAAAAATTAAATTATCTAATG